GGCCCTGCTGCTTACTGGTTAAAGGCATAGCCTGGGAGTCAGGCTCAGAATTCGGGCCTGCCCTTGCAAGCTGTGCAATACTGTGCAAGTTATTTCACATGTGCAACTATAGTTTTCTCACCTGGCACAAGAAGAAATGAAGAGTAACCTGAAAGCTATGTATTAAATAAGGATTTTAATTGAAAGTATCAAAAGTGTGCCTACAGCTTACAAAAAGAATTCTGTGGCTTTTCTGTTAGCTAGATTTCAAGGAAATAGAGCCCAGGAGCTTGAACCTTTAGAAGTACCCCCTCAGTATTGTGCCTCTGCCTCTAAAACATGTGACTTTACTCTTTGGGGCAGGTTTTCTGGAGCTATGGTCACGGGCATAATTACCAAAAAGCGCTCTCTTCCCTTGGTACCGATCTGAAAATATCAGGAGGCAGAACTGTGCTCATTTTTGCAGTCTGGGGGTGGGTTGTTATCCTTGCTGGCCACACTAGAATCCAAGGTGGTGTGGGGATGGGGAAGATCAATGCATCAAAAGATAGAGGGTACAGTTTTTCAGAAAAAGTGAAAAGACACTTAGGCAGACAAAATTCCTGATGTTTTCTGTGTAAATGCTCAATAAATTGTACCTATGAGGAGCATCTGGGTGGTACAGTCCGTTAAGCATCTAACTCTTGGTTTTGACTCAAGTTATGATCTCAGAGCCCTGTGATCTAGCCCCACAATGGGCTCTGTGGTCAGCGTGGAGTCGGCCTGGGATTCTCTCGCCTTCTCTCTCTGCCCCTCCCACCTGTGCACGCGCTCTCTCTCTCTCTCTAAAATAAATAAATAAATCTAAAAAAAATTCTATGAGATTATAAAAACCTCATCAATAGTTTCTAGTTCTGATTCCACAAATGAGGTATACTACCTGATTCAGGCAACCAATACAGAGTTCTTAACCTTTTATTTTGCTAACTTAAAACCTTCTTTAAAGCCATAGCTACTATTACCATCATTTAACATAGAACATATCTACACCAGGAAAGCGGGAAGGACAAAATCTCAGAATACAGGATAATCCTTTAAGTCAACTCAGCCCTGTGGGAGAAAAGCTGCATTTTTCTTGATTTTCTCAATTTGACCAAGGGCTGGTAAAAACTCCATCTGGGTCTGATGCCAATCAGACTTGGGAAATAGTGATACAGATCACTATCTTCTACCTGTCCGCAGGCTTTGCTGTGATTCAGGCACACTACTCCTCTAGCACTTTCTCCATCTAGCACAGAGCCAGGCACCCAGCCCAGATCCTCAGTAAACTGCTTCACCAGTCCAGCAGCTATCTGAAAAAAGATATGAGCATGGTCTGGGGCGCCTGGGTGGCTCAGTCAGTTAAGCGTCCAATTCTTGATTTCAGCTCAGGTCATGATCTCAGGGTTCTAAGACCGAGTCCCACATTAGGCTTCATGCCCAGATTCTCTTTCCCTCTCCTTCTGCCTCACCTCCCCAAAACCTATATGAAGATAGTCTGGTAGTACTCGCCCTAACAAATACATGCTGGAACATATATGAACACACATGCATTTAAAAATTCAAACTCTCCCTATTTTCAAAAGGATTTGATTTTACACATATACAATATAATCATTAAAACAATAAGATTTCTGTAATGATGGGAAAACGGGAGAGAAAGCCCAGGCAAAGCTAGCTGCTTTGACAGGGTATTATATCTCAATTCTAGGCTTAGATAATAATTCTCTTAAGAAGTGTGGCTCTGGGAGACAGCAGAGACACAAGGCATAAAATAGTACAGTCTTCTACTACTGAATCAGAGAGCCGGTCTGTCTGCGTGTGCACATGGCTATGGTTAACAATTCAAGCTGGTGTTCTGAGGAGTTCTTTCAGTCATTCACGCTATCAGCATCTCAATGCACTATGCTAGACATCAAGGCCACAAGGCTGAATTAGGTACAACCTCCATCTCAAGGAGGTTCATGAACCAGGCTAATTGAAAATTACTAACATAAAGCACAGTCTAAATTAAATGACCAGTTTCTTTTATTTTCTTCACTTAATAAGAAACAAGGATCATTTTAAATTTACCCTTTTTAAGTTCCAAAGGAACACACAGTAACTATACACAAACAATTCATTTCATGTCTAATTTTCATCTACTTGTAAAAACTCAAACTTTGGGCAACTAAAGTAGGATATGCTTGAACCCTTGAATCCCAAAGCATAAATAACATCAATACTAGATCTCTGAACAATTACTTCTTGTTCATGTGCCTGTGTAAAGCCACAGAGGATCTGGCCAAGTTTCCTCTTGATTTCTGATATAACTATGGCAAGAACTCTATTATTAAGCCCTCTTAGTAAAAACCGTCACCTAGCCCAGGTCCTTAGGTCACCAATGCCTCAGTCACTTTCCACCTGTCTTCCAGATTTCACCAGCAGAGCAGTAGGATGCAAGCCAAAGGAGGAGCAACAGAGGTTGCTAGTCAGACACACGACTCAAGAGGGAAAGCAGGAAACAGACCAAAATGGGGTGCCTGATAGGCGGAAACTGGGGAGTGTGTGGGAAGGCCAAGAAGAACAGAAGGGATGAGGAAGAAAGGCAAAAGACACATTCATTGAGGATTGGCTAAATGTTTTTTTAAGAAACAGGTTAGCTGCAAACAAAATCCAGGGTAGCAGAGCCATCATGTTTGCATACCCAGAGCCAGTGCAAGAAAAAGTAACACAAACCACAATATCTAGATTTAGCTGCCCTTTCTAGGACACATAAACCACTTCCAGTCAGTAAATAAGTTCTTATCTTCCCCCAGAAAACTCTGACTTTTTAGTAGAAAGGTCAGTTTTTAGTGAATTCTACAGAAAGGATACTCCTCCATCAGTGTGAAGTTCTACAAACCCACTGATATTCAGTGACACTTTTGTAAGCATATCTTAAATATAAAAGTCAATCCTAAAGAAATCAAGCACTATCATTTGTCCCTAAGACCTGTTGTTTATTAATGTTAAATCATAACATCAGAAGAGGGCCTTATTCAGACAAAGTAAAGGAGGCCAAAGTTCAATAGCTCCCAGGCACTCAAGATGAGTACTTTTTCCCACAGCTGACTCTTAAATGCCTGGGGTGACTAAGGCTCAAACAAGTAGGCACAGGGAGTAAAGGTTACATACTAATTCTATTGTTCAAAGTACAAAGGATTATTTAGTACACACTGGTCTGATGAAAAGCATTAGCAAAATAAAGCCAAAATATTTATAATGACTCTCATAATAAAGTCTAAAAACAATTTTTAAGAGTTAGCATCCATAATATTGAACCACAGATTGACTGTAATATTTGTTCCTGCTTAACACTTAAAATTTTATTTTATTTTTAAAGATTTTGTTTATTTATTTATGAGAGACACAGAGAGAGAGGCAGAGACACAGGCAGAGGGAGAAGCAGGCTCCGTGCAGGGAGCCGGAGGTGGGACTCGATCCCACGTCTCCAGGATCACAGCCCCGGCTGAAGGCGGCACTAAACCGCTGAGCCACCCAGGGCTTCCCAACATTTAAAATTTTAAAGCACAAAATTTAAAGTTTCCATATTTGTTCAATTACTACCTATAAAGTTCTAATCGTTTTACTAGATTTAGCATTAAGTAATGACTAAGATTTTTAAATGCTGAGGGTAGCCACACAAATTGATATTTGATTAGATTCCAGGTTTAAAACAGGCTTTCCTAAGTATCTGGCTACTCCCCCCAACAATCATAGTATTGTTATACAATTCAAAATATCAATTAAGGGACGCAAGGGTGGCTCAGCAGTTGAGCGTCTGCCTTCGGCTCAGGGCGTAATCCTGGAGTCCCGGAATCGAGTCCCACATCCGGCTCCCTGCATGGAGCCCGCCTCTCTCTCTGTGTGTCTCTCATGAATAAATAAATAAAATCTTTAAAATATAGATATATATATATATATATATCAAATAATATTTTAGATGCTTTAAAACTAAACAACTATCAATCACCAATTCCTACCTCTACCTCTTAAGGTGTTCTCAAGTAAATTTTGTTCTAAACCAGTGCTTCTCCACTGGGAGAAGATTTTGCTCCTAGAGGCAAAAAATTAATAATAAGTTTTGGCAACATCTGGAGACATTTTGGTGGTCACAACTAGGAGGTGGAGAAGGGAGTTACTGGTGTCTGGTGGGTAGAGGCCAGGGATACTGCTTAATAACCTACAATGCATGGGACAGTCCCTGTAACAAAAAACTATCAGGCCCAAAACATCAACAGAAGCTCTGTTGGGAAACCCTATTCTAAACAGAAACAAGTAAATTTGCAAACACAGCTGACACCTTCCAAAAAAACGATTGCCAAGTAAGTAATTCAAAGTTCACTATGCTTTGTTATTGGTATAGAGACCCAAACATAATAAAAGTTGCTTTTCATACTATTAAAATGATGATCTATTAATCATTAACGCATGAAGTTGCAGACATGAAGGGCAAAGAGTACTCTCACTACCTAACCAAATAATGATTGCTTTAAAAATGAACATTTCAGGAGACAAAAAAAGAAACGAGGTACTGATATTCTTGACAGCTTTCTAGGGTGCTTACATTTTCGAGGACAAACACCAATTAATCACTACTTTTTTGTTGCTGTTGTTTAGTTCTAACCAAATTTTTCTGCCATCTCAGTGGTTAAATTTTTTTTAAGGTTTTATTTATTTATTCATGACAGACACACACACACACACACAGAGGGGTGGGGGGCAGAGACACAGGCAGAGGGAGAAGCAGGCTCTATTCAGGGAGCCCGACAAGGGACCCGATCCCCGGTCTCCAGGATCACACCCCAGGCTGAAGGCGGCGCTAAACGGCTGGGCCACCGGGGCTGCCCTGTAGTTAGATTTTTAACCGGATAAAGTTTAAAATAAATACAAGGGGGAAGTTAACCCCATGGTACTAGTTGGTAGAATGATCTTGAACCAGAACACACTGCTGAAGAATCTGTTGAAACTCTGATGTTTACCTGGCAAAAGGACTGGCTCCAGTTTTTTAATCTTCGGTTCCGAATTAATCTTATCGTCAGTCTGAAATACATTAGCAAAGTAAATCAGGCTCAAAACTTTTCCTCCCCCGTGAGATACTAAAGCAACTTTTGTTTTCTAAGCGATGACACACACAACAGACACCTATTTCCCCCGCCCCCTTAAAATCTTTCACATGTTTTACTAGATCTTTTATTAAAGATCTGTGCATTATCGACTGGAAGTCCCACAAGAGCATGCAAACTGCCGGTGCCGCTCCCAGGTGTTCCCGTCAGGACAGGTGGCCTCCTCCACCGGATGCCCACGGGCGATACAATCCTGCTGGCGGCCACAGCGCGGACGACTGCCAGGCGCAGTACTACAGAAATCCAACCCCAAACGCTCGCTCCCTTGAGTCTCAACGCACAAACTACGGAGCACAGGTCTCGGGGCAGAGAATGGCTGCGGAGAAGTTATACAAGTTTCCACCGAGCCAGTGGGGGCTCCCGAGAAGGTGCGTTTCCCGCCGCTGGGGCTCCGGCAACCCCGCGGCTGGGGACCCGGGGACCCGGGGACCCGGGGAGCCTCCCCGGAAGCTCCGAGGAGAGGGTTGTTTACCTGCGGCGGCGGCAGGAGGTAGGACCTGAAGGTGGGTCTGGGAGGCTTGAGGGAGAACATGGTGTCGCCGCCTTTTCGCTCTGGCCGGGTCCCACCGCCCGCCAGCGGTAGCGCCTACGCCTCCCGACGCCCCGGGGTCGGAGCTCCCGGTGCGGCCGCCCAGGCCCCGTCTGCGGCCACCCCGGCCGGGCGGACTGACGGGCGGGGACACCGCGGAGCGCCCGCCCGAGCGGGGAGGAGCCGGGGCCAAGTCGGGTCGACTCCGGCGCCGGAGCCCATCCCCGGAAGGGGCCCGGCGCCCCGCCCCGAGAGACGGTGCGCGCGAGGCCGGCGGCCGGCCGCTCCCGGCCTCTAGGCCGCGCTGGTGCCGGGAGGCACGGCTTGCGCTGCCCGCCTGCCGCCGGGACCTCAGCGAGGGCGCCGGGGGGAGCGGGGCGCGGCGGCCATCTTGGCAGCGCAGCCGGGGTACGGCGGTGCTACGGCGGCCCGCGGGGATCACGACGCGCCGCGGGGACCTACGGCGGCCCGCGGGGGTCACGGCTGAGGCCGGAGGGGGCCGGCGACCTGGGCTCGGATCCCTGTCCTTCGCGGCTGCTCCGCGCTCTCTCTTTTCCTGGGACAGCTGCTTGCGCTGCTCCTCGTTCGTCACCCAGCTTGCGCGGTCACTGCGGGTTTTAAGTCGTCGGGAGGAGCCCGGGGGACTGGGGAAGGGGACTCTGGTGCCCTGGACTCAGTCACCTCGCGCACCCAGCGTGCGAGGGACCCGCTGGGGGAGAGGACAGGTGCGGCCAGCAGTGACCAGGATCAAACGCCCTGTGCTCTCTGTACTCATGTGATAAAGCTCTCTTAAAGGTCCCACGAGCGGGGAAGATTTTCTTCCATCCTCCCGTCTGCTGTCTTTCCGCAAAGCTTTGAGGCCGGGATGTCCCACCAGCCAAGCGGACTGCTGATTTCCGTGGGATGCGCGGCCGCCAGACTATTATTGACAGGTGACATTGGCGGGCCAGCCAGACTCCTCACCGTCGGCTATGAGCTTCTGCCCTCCTTATTAAAATGTAATGTGGGGGGAAGATGGGAAGCAAGTTACCTTCCTTTCTTTTCTTGCCCATCCCCTCAGGTACAGATACTAATGAGCAGAGAAGTGATCAGAAGCCCAGTGAGAGTGAGGGTCTAGCGGTGTGAGGACCTTCAGTAGGCAGGCTATCGGCCAAATAATCTGCCCATTGATTGCAAGGAACAGATAGATGAATTTCAGCATATGGAGCACAGGGCATTTCTTAACTCTGAACTGGAGCAGTCTTTGGCGGAAGGAGGCTCGTGATGTATCATTTTGGTGAATCGATCAGTTGAGACTTAATTTTGCTTTGAAGAGTAAAACCCTAGTCTAGCATTTTATAACTAATGTCACAAGGAAGCTGTGATGTGGCCAAATGAATCACAATCATACTGACAATGCTAATTGAAACATTAAAAAATGTTTAAGATTCGGAAGTTTGCATTTTCTCTGAAAATAATTTATCCTGGGTTCAGAACCCTACTGATCTGTCTTGTTAATTTGTCTGGGTAACAAATGATTTCATTTGCTCAGGAACCGAAGTTGTACTTAAAGTGTTAAGTTCATTTGGTTACAGGTGTTAAAAACACTTGTGTACATACATTTAAAAATTTTTATGAATAGTCTGATTTTTCTACCTGAACTGGATTAAAAAAAAAAAAAATCCACGCAGAAAAGATCAGATTTGTGGTAACCAGAAGCAGGGGTATGAGAGGGGGAATTAGAGGAAGGTGGTCAAAAGATACAAACTTTTGGTCACAAGATACATAAATGTTAAGGATGTAATGTATAGCATGATATAATGTATAGTTAATACAGCTGTATGATATATATAGGAAGGCTGTTAAGAGAGTAAATCCTATGAGTTCTCATCACAAGAAAATTGCTATCTTTGTTTCCTTTCTCTTTATTGTGTCTGTATAAGATGATGAATGCTCCCTCAACTTATTGTAGTAATCATTTCACAGTATATGTAAGTCAAGTCATTATGCATCTTAACTTATACAGAATATATATATATATAAGATATATATATACATATCTTAAACCTATACAGTATATGTCAATTATGTATCTTGACTTATACAGAATATATATATATATATATATATAACTTATACAGAAATATATATATATATATATCCCTTGAGAGACTCAAGGGATATATATATCTTAAACTTATACAGTATATGTCAATTATGTCTCAACACTGGGGGAAAATGGATATTTTTTCCACAAATACTCTTCAAGCAATATGTGGGTTTTCTCTATACTTGAGTGACTTTGTGATTTGGGTTTTGTCATATTGATTTTCTTAGGATCTACAACTTTAATACGTGACCCTACAACTGAAAAGTAGAAAACTTTGATTTCCAGATTTGTTATTAACCTAACACTAAATTTTATGACATTTTCAGATACCTAATTGTATTGACTTGGGCTGCCATAATAAAATATTACAGACTCTATGCTCAAACAACAGAAATTTCTTTCTCACAGTTCTAGAAGGTGGGAAGTCTAAGATCAAGGTACAGACAAGCTAGATTTCTCCTAAGAGCTCTTTGACTTGCTTGCCAATGTTGGCTGTGTTTTCATAGGCCCAAGGGTGGGAAAAGCAGAGAGAGAGTGGGAGAGAGAGACACAGCAAGCACATGTGCTCTGGTATCTCTTCTTTTAAGGGCACTGATCCCGTTGGATCCAGATCCCACCCTTAATGATCTCACTAAAAAGTACCTCCTAAAGGTCCTATCTCTGAATGTAGTCACACTGGGGGGACAGGGCTTCAACATATGAATTTTGGAAGGACACAGTGCAGTCCATAGCACTAGTCTTACAGCCTCTATTCAGCCCTGACCTCCCTGATACTTTGACTACTTCTTCTTTTGTCTCTAATGCCACTATTTTATTCTCCTATTTTTTTTATTCTATTCTATTATTGGTTCTGTCATGATAGATACTGGTATTCCCTACAGAGCACTTCCTTTCCCCTATGAAAAGAAAAAAAGTGCTAACCTTTCTTGAATACCTGTTACATTCTAGGTATTTTATATGTTCATTCAGTTATCAAATTTGTATCGAGTGCTACCTTTGTGCTAAAAAAAAATGTTCAGGTGGTCAAGAGGACAAAGTTCCTACTTATGGCATTATAGATAGAATGATACATAAAAAAATGAATATATAACATGTCAGATCATAATAAGAGCCATGAAGAAAAATAAAACATGGAAAAAGGATGAGACTTCTATTTTGTGATGGGAGGTGAGGTGTGGTCATGGAAGGCCTTTCTGACAAAATGACGTTTGAGCAGAGACCAAAGAAGTGAGGGAGCAAGCCAGGAGGAAAACAGAAGGGAAAGCTTGGGGACAGAGGGCATAGCAGTGCAAATGCCCTGAGATGAGAGCCTGCGTGGTGTGTTTGAGGCCAATATGGCTGATACAGCCTAATCCACTGGAAGAGGAAGTCAAAGAACAGGCCAGATTTCATAGGGCCTGAAAGTTGAAAAAAAAATTTGCAATATTTTGAGCTGACAGTGATATAATCTGGCTGATATTTTTAAAACAATTGTTCCTACTGCTGTAGAGGTACAGCATGGTAGAAGCCAAGAGACTAGTTGGGAGCTACTAGAATAGTCCAGATAAAAGAAAGTAATGGTGGAAGAAGTGGGAAAAGTAAAACATGGTTATATATACTGTCCACAAAACTATGCCATTGCCTGGGTATGTGGGCCTTTAAGACGACTATTAAGTAATTTAAAAAATCTATTTCTTGGGGGAGATTCTGGAAACATTGCAACAGCAACATTATTGTTTGCTCTCCACATAAAAACAGGCAAAGCAATTCTAAAGCAAAATCAAAACCCATAGATGAAATCTACACCAAATCTAAGTGAAATGGTATCCCCATAATCTCCAGTACAGGCAAGTGAGAACATAGCAATAGCAGTCACAAGGTCTTTACGGTATCAACTGAGGAAATCAGTGAGGCATCTAGAAAATTCCAGAGTAGCAGAAGGCATTCACTGGAAGGCCCAGCCAGTCAAGTTGAAAATAGCAGCTGAAATAGGAAGGGGTGTTTGTTATCTCCAAGATCATGGGAGTGCGAGGGGCTCATGGTAAGGTCTGAGGAGATTGGAGCAATATAACTGTAGGAACTCTTGAAACTGACTTAACCAGGGCTTCCTTAGGAAAGGGGCCAACACTGAGGACAGACTTCTGGGCATGGAAACAAAATTGAACCAGATAGAGACAAAGGAAAGAGAAGGTCCAGAAAAAAAAAAAATAATAAATAAATAAAGGACCAGAAAGCTTCTAAAAGTAAGCTGACTTTTAACATGTTAATACTGCACCATAAAAAAATAAAAAATAAATAAAAAACACAGAAAAAGGCTCTTTGTGAAATTAGAAAAGCTGTCCTGAAAACTGCCTCCTTCAAAAAGTTCAAGAAAACCCATTTCACATACACATAAGCAACAGAGAAGTATGGAAGTCAAATCCCATAGAAGATGACCATAGACAGAAAGAGAATAAGAACAGAATAGCACTTCTAGGGACGCCTGGGTGGCTCAGTGGTTGAGCGTCTGCCTTGTCTCAGGGAGTGATCCCGGAATCTGGGATCCAGTGCCGCATCGGGCTCCCTGCGAGGAGTCTGCTTCTCTCTCTGCCTCTCTCTGCCTCTCTCTCTCTCTCTCTCTCTCTCTCTCTCTCTCTCTCTCTGTGTGTGTGTGTGTGTCTCATGAATAAATAAATAAAATCTTAAAAAAAAAAAAAAAGAATAGCGCTTCTACAGATAATAAAAGCATACCAGAAAGACAAGCCCACAGGGAAGATCAAAGCTAACACCCACTACTTCAAAGACACTAAAATGATATGAGACATGAACGAACTATATGAATCAGTTAGGAACAATCAAAATGAAACTAACCAATTTGGAATAGAATTAGAAATAAGAAAAAAAATACTTTGGAAATGAAGACTAAACTGAAAGAAACCCAAGGGTTAGTAAACACATTTGATTATGCCTTAAGAGAAGTGGAAGACAAAGAGGAGGAAGTTTTTTTTAAAAAAATCAATGAAGAGAGAAAAATGGCAAATATTGAAGATATGCAAAGGAGATCCAGCATACAGGTAATAGGAGTCCCTGGGGAAAAAAAGGGAAGCAGGGATAAGAAAACAGAACAAATACTACAAACTAGACTTCAAGAAAGTCTCCTTGAGATTAAAAAAGAAAAAAGATTTGCATCTATGCATTGAGAGGACACATTTGCACCTGAGAAAATTGACCTAGAATTATCAACACTAAGACACGTTCTTGTAAAACTACTGGATTTTTTTTTAATTTTATTTATTTATGATAGTCACACACACAGATAGAGAGAGAGAGGCAGAGACACAGGCAGAGGGAGAAGCAGGCTCCATGCACCGGGAGCCCGACATGGGATTCGATCCCGAGTCTCCAGGATCGCGCCCTGGGCCAAAGGCAGGCGCCAAACCGCTGCGCCACCCAGGGATCCCAAAACTACTGGATTTTAAATAAAATAATAATGCAAATTTCTTTGGGTACCTAGACAAAAAGAGCAAGTGACTTAGATGAAAGAGATTTAGATTATCCTCAGAGTTTTTGGCAGCAATGCTTTATGATGGAAGAAAATGGAGCAACATATTTAATATACTCAAGGAGAAAAATGTGAGAACTTGATAATTGCAAGAGATTGAAACACATCCATATGTTAAAATTCATGAGGTAATGATTGTGTGTGTGTGTGTATCTCAATCTATTGGTCACCATTCAGGATAATAGGTAACCTATTCAACATCCTAAAAACCTGCAAATAAATGGGAAAAGCCAATCATTGTCTTTGTTGTACGATATGACCTGTACTACTATGAAACAATTAGCAGGTGAAAGGAATAATTTCTTTATAAAGTATCCTAACTAATAAAAGAAAAAGAAATCATAGGGTAGATTATTATAATTTTTAGCTTCCTATGAATTAAGTAACCTTAATTCATAGTGTCAAACAGTATCAACAGCTACAGACACCCCAGAAAGAGTCAAATAGACATATGTGCCTCATGAGGGAGGAAGCAACACCATCCAAATAGCCTTGCTAAAAGAATTGAATCCAAGCCCTGAGTAAGCCTCTAAATTCTGACAATTTGTAGAAACAGTGAAACATGTCAAACTGCATATGAATATTCAACTAGTAAAATTCAGATTGTGGGAAACTTTGCAAGACAAATGGCCCATGCTCTTTAACAGATAGATGTAAGAAAGAGAAAGGAATGGGAGAGAGTCAGCAAGTAGAAAAAAGAGAGCAAGCAAAGCTCAATTATAATGCTAAAGGACATTCAGGTGATGAAGCTATAATGAAATGCAAGTGTGGTGATTTTAAAACATGTCTGCAGAATTTTATTTTAAAGATTTATTTATTTATTTGAGAGAGAGACAGAGATAGTGTGTTTGAGGGGAGGGGCAGAGAGAATCTTGAGCAGACTCCATATTGAGCACAGAGCCAGACATGGGGCTCAATCTCGGGACCCTGAGATCATGACCTGAGCTGAAACTAAGAGATGCTTAACTGACAGCACCACCCATACACTCCATGTCTGCAAAATTCTAAACACTCCTTCCTCTCTTCAAATCTGGACTGGCCTTAGTGACTCACCTGTAACCAAGAGAATGCAATGAAAGTGACTCTGCATGACTTCTGAAGCTAAGTTCTAAAAAAGCAATGACATTTCCTCCTGGCTCACTGGGACACTCACTTTTGAAGCTCTGAACTACTATGTAAGAAATCTAATTTCTATGAGGCTGCCATGCTGTGAGAAAGCCCAGGTCACATGCAGAGACCATGCATGGATCCTCTGGTGGATCATCCTAGCTGAGATTCAGATCCCAGCTGACAAACAGAATCCACCCCCAGGCATGTGAGGGAAGGGAAGATGCTTCTAGATGATGTCAGCCTCCAGTTGTTGAATCATCTCCAGACACTGAGTCTTCCCAGCTCAAATACTATGAAATAGAAATAGTGGTGTGCTCTAGTGCATTTGTACTGGCTTGCAGGA